CAGACCCACTTCCTCAGATCAAATAGTGGAAGAAAATTGTCACAACCATATATACCAAAGGATACAAATTAAAAAAATGAACACATATGAAAAGGACAAATCAAATTTCAGAATAGAAGGGGGATGGAAGGGGGGAAGGAGGGGAGGTAAATGTCTGTGAGCTAATGATATTAGAGGCGATAAGTGGGATTACTGGACAGGTTATTCCGTAGCTGTCCACCTATGGCATTTCCAACTTCTCTGAAGCAGCTAGAACTGGCCACTGGCAGGTGATACCAGACTGGATGGATTCCTGGCCTCTGGCAATGCCAAGATTTCTTAGTGCCACATTACACATCTGTTGTCCTCCACAGACATGGCATGGGGGACCTCTGTGTTTATCATCTCATGGTCCCAGCTGGTTGCATAACATTTGCCAGATAGTTTGTATAGCACATTTCTCTTACCAATATTCACAGGCACTGTGGTTCCATTATTTGCCCAGCTCTGTGCTTGTTGATTTCTAGACCCTGTGTGGTAAGGTTATAGGGTTTTATTTTTCAGCCTGGGATCTAGGAATCCAGCTAGACCCTTCCTCAGTGTTCAGCACATGGGATCCAGCTCCGTGTAACTGGTAGGAACTTAGCAATCAACCCTGTTACGACGCAGACATTTTAGCAGTGTTGGCTCTGCGAGGCTAGGAGGAGAATAGAGGAATAAAACACTCTCTGGGTGAGTAAAGTCAGAGGCTAGGAGTCTGAAACACACACTCTGGGGAAAAGGAGGGGGTTCTTTTTCCCCACAGTCATTTTTCAGAGACGTGAACACGAATTGTAATGTCACCGAGAAGATGTTACAATGCCAGCACTGCATCCCGGCATCTCTTGCATTAAGACAAGACTCCGTCACTTCTGGGGCAACAGAGCACAGCATCTGGGGACCCTCTCGCCCCGACAGACAACTGTATCAACTCTAGCAAACCACAGATCAGCCCCCGGGAACCTCCAGCCCCAAGACACAACTGCATCGCCTCTGCTACATGAAAGCACATCGGATACCGCTCACTGCCCCGCTCTGAGATATTACTGCATCATCTCCTCGGTAGTACACTGCTCAGGAAAGTACCGTCTTGAGCTGCACCGCCTTGCAGCATTGTATCTGGCTGGAATCTCAATGCAAACTAGTTTCTGGTGTTCTCCAGCACAGCACCCAATCCCCTCCAGCGTGCACCACCATTCTCGGGGTGCCCGGCCTGCCGCAGCCCTGACAGAAGGTGAACACAGCGAAGGAGCTTGGCAGGTAAGGGGCTCGCCAATCGCAGCACCAGCCCCCACTATGCCACAAAGGGATCTGTGTGGATTAATTAATTATCCTACAAGGGGCAGTAAGGAACAGCGCTGGTTGTGTAACAATAGAAGCTATCTGGTTTCTATGGCAACCCAGTCCTGCTTGTGCACCTTTAATTTATTCCTTGAGCGGTTCTTTCCTGAGCTCGCACGGGGCTGAGAAATGCCTTGTTTTTCTTGCCGCTATCCCAGTGCCCGGAGCCGGGGCAAAATGCTGCCTCGCCACCCAGCACGGAGGGCAAGAAGTCAAAACTTGCCCACATCACACAGGGAATAAAACTATCGCTGCTCCCTGAATGTCTGCTTGGTAAGATGGCTCCAGTCGTCAACCCCTTTCCAAGTGGCCTCTCCTGTTCTTATTCTGCAGTTTCCCAAAGCACTTCAAGGCCCTCATATCAATTAGGCCCCATCATGCCAGGCCTTTTGCAGACACGAAGGTAAGAGATGCTGCTCGCCTTCTTATAATCTGAATTGACAAGCAGACAAAGGGCAGGAGGCGGAAAAGAGCAGCCCGGGAAAGTGACTTGACCAAGGTTACCCTGCTGGGGAGTGGCAGAGACAGGAAAACATCCATGTGTCCTGAATCCCAATCCAATGCCCTGTCCATTGGACCAAACCATCACCTGATAGGGCATACTTAGGAAGGCCTAGCAGACCCCACATGAGGAATGGACAGGAGTCAGCCCCTCCACTGAGGACACGACATAACCGGAAAGGCTGGTAGGGCAGCCCCCCCCCCCCCCAAAAGACTCTATGTACCCATAGGGGGAAGCAGAGAACTCCCTTCCATCCCGGCATGGACTGGCCATAGCCAGCGTGGAAAGGCCAAGTGCCCTCTTGCACGGACCCAGCCGGCTAGCGGAGACCCGGCAGGCGTGGCCCAGCGGTGGCGGGCCTGTCTCCGGGAAGAGGGGGCGCTGTCAGCATTTGGCCGGCAGGCTGCATTGTGTTGAAAGGTGATGCTAGCACAGTGGGAGGAGGAAGGATGGTCCAGTGGCCAGGCGGCAGGAAGCCTAGATCAGGTGTTTTCAAGACTCGCTGCACTGCAACCGTCTTCTGACAACAAAAAATAATAGACGGCCGGGGAGGTGGGGTGGGGGAGGGACCAAGCCTGAGTCTGCCTGTGCCTCCCTAGCCTGGGTGCAGGGGCCAAAATGGAAGTCCTAGGGCTTCAGCCCCAGACAGTGGGGCTCTAGCATCATGTCTGGCCCCGGACAGTGGGGCTCAGGCTTCAGCTTTGCTCCCAGACCTCAGCAAGTCCGAGCCAGCCTCAGAGACCCCATTAAAACAGGGTCCTGACCAATGCGCCTTCTAATTTTGTCCATCCACGTGTGGAATAAATTTTGTTAGGTGCACCGGTGCATGTGTAGATGTGCACCACCTGCAAAAACGCACACAGCCGGCTGTGGGCGCTCTGCTAATCAAGTCGGCAGCACCGGAATCTCTCCTGGGTGGACACTCAAGTGCTCAGCTGACAGGAAACACTGGTCTAGTCCCACTTTGGGGTCCTGACCTACAGATTGAGACCCACTGGCCTAGATGCAATTTCCTGCCACAGATGCAGGGCAAATCATGCTGGTCCACATTCTCAAAGGCACTTTGGCACCTAACTGCCAGGGCCTCTGCTCTCCACCAAGGGGAGCAGCGCTAGGAGGAGACACCCATTAAAGACTGAGAGATGCTCAGACTCTACAGTCATGGGGCTAGGAACCTCCCCTGGCACTAGGAGTTTGTGCCACAAGGCAAGCAGTTGGCAGTAGCAGTGGCAAGCGCAGGTAGCACCTGGCAAGCCGAAGGTGGAACTGCAGGGAAATCTAACCTGTCCCAGACAGACCGATGGCAAACTCAAGGCTGCACTTCAAAGGCTTTGCTGGGCAAGAACCTGCAGTGCAAATGGTTTCATCTGAGAACATCAGTCCACCAGGAGCTAAATTCAGCCCAGAGGTACCTGGAGGCAACTCCCACTCAACTCAATGGGGCTGGGTTTGACCCGACCTCTTCCAAGTGTAGAGAAAATTTGAAACCAATGGGTCTCCCCCCTTTCCTGCAACCCCACTCCTTCCCCACGACCAAAAGATGCCCCAGGAGCATTGGTGGCACTGGAATCAGACAGGCTCTGTAGGCCCAGAGAAACAGGGCAGGAGGATCGGGATCCGAAAGGTTTTAACTCTCTTCACTGGCCAGGAAGCTCCGGTCGGGCTGGGGTTCTTCCACATAGGCCAGAACAGAGAGAACAGAGGAACAACCTCGCGCGAACGTCTCCATCACCCGCCCACCACAGGCAGCCTTGGAAAAGCAGCTGGTCTAGCAGAAAAGCTGCCATGGGGTCACCCGAAGGCAGAGGGAGGGACCTCAGTCCTAATAACTCAGCAGTTAGGCATCCTTTGCTGAATGCACACAAGACTGGCCCAACTTCCAGCATATGGGGAAGGAAACATGGGGGAGATACACCCCCCCCCCCCCCCCACCACACTGGTGACCCCCTGGATCAGCTCATCCGGGGTCAGGAATCTATTTCCTGAACGGAGAGAGAAGCACCCACCCATCAGTCCGATGCAAAACCTGCCCAGCCTGTCTCAGCACATGGAATGCCACGGCTAGCCCCGCGAGGCTGGAAAAATGCAGCCAGCCAGACACAGCTGCCCCGGGGAGGTCTGACCACTCACGGCCAGCAGAAAGGTCGACAACGCCCAGGAAAGGGATTGAGACAATTACACCAACAGCCATTTTCAGAAATCTCCTTGGCAGGGAGATCCTCCAGCTAAAGCCATAGCAGGGGTAGCAAAGAACTGGCCGTGTTTTAAAGCACGTCGGTGCGACAAAAATAAGTCAACCCAAGAGCCATCAATGCCTGGTCACCACAGTAATTGAATCACTTGTGCGTGTCCGCACCACAGGCTTTGTGTCAGGGGTGCAGCATCTCCCTAGCTCTGGAGTGTAGACTAGGGCTGCAAAAGCTAGCAGCCTGACCTGCTGTCACCCAGTGCTCTGAGCTGCTACAAGGGCAAATTCTAGCATCCAGGATGGGGTGTACCTGACAGAGATCCCTCACCTGTGGGGGCCTGGGTTTATTTCAGCACCAGCTTCACAGCTTGCACTCTGGCTAAAGCTGGACCACCAAAGTCATGGCATTCTTAGTAGCACTGGGCTGCTGGAAGCATGATTTAGGGAACGAGGAGGGAGGTTCCCACGCCACTCCAATTCACGTGTCGGCCTGTGATAGGGACACACTCCTTTGCAGGTAGCAAGGCATGTTAGATAGCCTTAGCCTCGCCTGCCCCCCTCCCACTCCATCCCCACCCTTCGGTTTGGTCCTGTTACATACACAGCAACGACACGCCAATGCTTGCATTTTATCCAGCAAGACGCTTACTCGCTTTGCTCTGTTCATCCCACCCCTTCCTCAGAAATGCAACTCTCTCTGGAGTGGAGCACGAAAGACAGTCTGCACCACCACCCATTCAACAAAATTTGGAGAGGAGAAATGAGGAGTAACTGCAGGGGAGCAGAACACACTGGAATGCAGACACCCCCTCCTAGGTTAGCTCCCAAACTCTTGCCAAATTCTAGCATCCAGTTGCTGCAATGATTCTGAGGAGTCATGGCTTGGGGGTACTTTCTCACCCACCGGGCGAAGAGACAATTTATTGGCTTTTCGCTTCTTTTCAGACTTACCATGTTGACTTCTGAAATCTGGTCAATGCTGGAGATATGGATGCTCATTCCCACTGTAACAGGGTTACCTGAAACACAAAGGGGCCCTGGTTAGCACAGAACACAAGCTGCCGCTGGACTACCCCACAGTGCAATTTAGCTTACTGGGCAAAATGTCAGAGGGGGAGCCGGGTTAGTCTGTATCGGCAAATACAACGCGGAGTCCTGTGGCACCTTAGGGCATGTCCGCACTAGGAAATGATTTCGAAAGAACTCAATTCGGAAGAATAATTCCAGAAATGACAAAATCGAAATAGTGGGTCCTCCCTGTGGGAATGCCTTGAAAATAGTCCGAGGCAGGCTCTGTTATTGTGGATGTGCTACCTCCGACTTAGAGCCCCAAGCAGCATTCGATTACTTCAAATTACTCAGAGGAGTCGTTATCTCAAAATAGAAGCAATGGAGCGTCCACACGACCGCTATTTCGAAATAAGTGTTTTTCCCTGACAAAAGCAGGAGAGCAGATTTCAATATAACCAGCCCGTTATTTCAAAATAAAGGCTTGGTCATGTGGACACTCCGCTTATTTCAAAATAAGGAGTGATTTATCGAAATAACTCCCTAGTGTAGACCAAGGCTAGGAAACTAACAGATTTATTTGAGCATAAGCTTTCATGAGCAAAGACTCACTTCATCAGATGCATTGGAGCAGAAATGACAGAGGCAGGCATAAATATACTTATATACTTCTGAAAGGCAGCATATATAAATATATTATGCCTGCCTCTGTCATTTCCACTCCAATGCATCTGACAAAGTGGGTCTTTGCCCATGAAAGCTGATACCCAAATAAAGCTGCTACTCTGTAAGATGCCAGAGGACTCCTCGTTGTTTGGGCAAAGCAGTTACACCAGTGGAAAATGGAGGTAGAAGGTTCATTGAGTTCAAAGGATTTCCACATCAAGAGCTGTGAATTTGCCAGGGCAAATGTGGATTTTCTAACCCAGCCCTGCGAGCTCAGCCTGGGAATGGAGAGAGAAGATGGATTTTTTCACTAGCTAGTTTCTGCAGGCCAAACGGACGATCCCAGCCCCGTCTACGGGCTCGCACAGGTGTAACCGATTGGCCACGTAACTGGAACGTAGCAAACAAGTCTGCCGCTCCGGCACACGAAGCGTTGGCCTCCCGCTCACCCCCTCTTCACGAGGTTGGCTCTGCCATGCTAACCGTTTTTCAAACAGTGGTTAGTCGATGCAGACAGGCCCCTGGACACACTCCGGGAGTAGGTCTGTGGAGGGAGCCAATGCCATTTTTCACAACCATTTTGCCATGTAGAACAGCACTTCAGTTCCCCATCGGACTTAATCTGCCTGGCAACAAGGTGCCATCTGGCTCTGCCCTAAGGAGACAAGCCCATGTTACCATACACCAAGAGCACCCTGCTCTATTCTACAATCGAGGTTCCCAACCTTTTCGAGCATACGCACCCTTTTCCAATCTATTCAATTTTCACAGACCGAGAAAAAAAGAAAAGTAAGGAAAGAAAACGAAAAGAAAAGGTTGGACCCACCGCCATGGGGCCAATCCTTATTTTTAAACTTTCCACGGACCCCCTGCAGTGCCGTCGTGGACCAGCAGGGCTCCACGGACCACAGGCTGGGAGCCACTGTTCTACACTGCTAGAAAAGACGGTATGGGCAGTGATTAAAGACTCCCTGGATTCTAGTCCCCACCTCCACCCAAGGCCCTCTGAATGGGCGCCATGCCTAAGGAACCACGTCCCTGGTTTTGTATGAGTTTTATTGAGTGGTTTGTTACACAGTTCCAAAAGGGGAGGGGTAGGACATTTTGCCACACATGGTGTTGACTTTTCTTCAAGTCACTGGCAACTCCCAGGGCTGAAATATTTACAGAAAATCACAAAAGAACTGAAAAACCATTAGCAAATAAAGAGGAGGGGACCCATCTAACCTGGAAACTAACCTGGAAACTAATGGTATAGGGGACCCATCTAACCTGGAAACTAACTAACACGCAGCAGTCAAACGTTAACTCGAACTAAGTCCTTAGTTCAAGTTAACTGTTACACAAAGGATACACAAACTGTTACAAAGGTGTAACAGTTAACTCGAACTAAGGACTTAGTTCGAGTTAACGTTTGACTGCCACATGTAGCCGTGGGCAGTTAGTTTGGACTAAGGGGATTTAAAAATGGCGCCCGGACGGGAAGATGCAAATAAAGTCCGGGATACTTAAATCCCGGGCTTCATTTGCAACTTCGAATGCCTACATTAGCCTCCCTAGTTCGAACTAGGGGGCTAGTGTAGACAGACCCTAAACGAGGTATTCGTTGTGTGTTACTAGAAATAGGAACGTAGTGTCATTGTGGGTGGGTGTGCTGCTTCTGAGACCCTATGCCTGCAAATTAGACCCCATCATCCTTTAATGGGATATGAATAACACCTCAAACATCAGAATCAAGAGTGGCTCTAATTAGGACCTCCCATCTAACTCTCCTTAAAGAGACAGCACAGTCGTGTTTTCCTCTCAGACTCTGAGCACTTGTGGGATGTTCTGAGCAGCCTTTCACGCCGGGCCTTACTGAATACAGCCAGCAGTTTGACGGCTGTTTGTCTGAGGTGCGTGGGTGGGTTCTCAGCCTGAGCTGTGCCCCGGCTCAGGAAGCCAGCCCCACAGGGGGGGCACTCACCAGCCACCCCCAGCTTGGCAAACACAGAGAGGGCCTGCCTCCGCGGAGACAAGCCAGGGGAATTCCTAAAACCCTTTTGGTCTTAATCACACCTATGGCTACCGGGAGCACAAGAAAAGGCTTTTTGAGGAGAAAAGTCTCCTCCTGTCAGTTCCCTGACGCTATTTTTATTGGTATCATCAGCTTTCGTGAGCCCAGCCCACTTCTTCAGATGACTGGACATCTGAAGAAGTAGGCTGGACTCACAAAAGCTCATGATACCATCGACATGTTTTGTGAGTCTTTAAGGTGTTGCCAGACTATTTGTTGTTTTAAGTTTTCCCTGTTTCAGACTAACTTAGCTACCTCTCTGAAGCCATTTTTATTATGAGCACACCAGCTCAGCTCCGGACCTGACTGTGCTACTGGCTAGCCATCTGCCTAGTAAGACAGTCCCTGTCTCACAAGGTACGTCTAAACTACATGGCTCTGTCACCAGAGCTACGTAGTTTACTTTACTAGACATACCCAAATGAAGCGGCGATTTAAATAATCGCCGCTTCATTTAAATTAAAATGGCTGTCGCGCTGAGCCGATCAGCTGTTTGTCGGCTCAGTGCGCTAGTCTGGACACTCCACGGTCAACATCAAAGGCATTTGTTGACCGCCCTGGTAAACCTCATCCCATGAGAGACAACAAAGCTGCGATTTCCGGACTCCTAGTCTCAGGGCAGCACCGTTTCACACAATCGAATGGCTAGACGCTGCAGCCAGGCAAATTCAGATCGGAAATAAGGTGCCAATTTTTAACGGCGAGAGCAATTGACCTTTGGGACCCTTTGGCACACTGTAGGCTCCACCACCGGCACTTTTAACATCAAGCTGGGCTGTTTTTTTTCTAAAAGCTCTGCTCTAGGAATTGTGTGGAGGAAGTTTGACGGCTTTGTGTTGTGCTGGCAGACCACAGTGGTCCCTCCTGGCCTTGGAATCTCTGAATCTATGCTGCTTCTCCCTTCAAGTGCCCTACCATTGTCACCAAGCACCCCCGCCCTTCCCTGGATCTTCCCCGCCTTCCCCCTCCACATACACACTGATAATTGTTGTGGTTTTACAATCCAGTTTTTGCCATCTAAAAACAAGCAAAACAGCAACAACAATGCATTTCTCTCCCCTGTTGCCACATGAAAGATCCACAGAAACAACAAAGACAATCGACTGGCTCGAAGGGGAAACCAACCATGAGGAGACACAAAGAGCTGTCAAACACACAAAGTCTATCTAATCTAGTCTATCTGTCGAGGCATTTGTGCCACACTCATCACCATGGTATCTGAGTGCCCGAGGTCAGGCAGTGACTCAGTGGCAAAGCCATGAATAGAATCCAGAACTCCTGACTCCCAAATCCCTGCTCTAAGACAGACGAGTGACAGATTGAAGATCCGCACCGCGCTACTTCCAGCTGAGCCGAGCTTAACACAGCGTCTCCGGGCTCAGCCAGGGACAGGCTTAGTCGGGCGAGCAGCAGTGGAGACACCCTGGGCTCTGAAAAGTTGGAGACCTCACGAATCACTCAAGGTCCCCAGTTGGCAGAGCCCGTGTCCTGGGGTTCTGGGGTTTGTGGACGCCCACCTAGGCAGGATGATGAGAAGCCCTCTCACATCCCTGAACAAATCGGCCTACATGTTCAGGCTGAGCCCACAGGGCTAAGCGCCTACGCATACTACCTAGCCCAGAACCCTCCTGTGACGGGGCGCCGAGACCCCGCACTGAGCCCAGGGGGGGCGAGCGCCTTATTGACGCTGCCCGGGAGCACCTACCAGCCATGTGCCGGATGCTCCCAGGCCGCAGCGCAGCTGGGGAACGCTGGGGCGGCCTCTGGAAGGGGGAGGGGAGGATCACCCGGCATGCCGGTGTATAGGAGGGGGCTTACACCAGTGACGTCGGAGGGACACCCAGCCAGCGTCCGGGGTGGCGGGAGCTTTAAAACCCGCCTGGGCTGTGAAGAGGGGGAGGCAAGCGAGGGGGAGCGGACCCGCCAGGAGGGGGGTAGGCACCCGGAGATGCCTCGCAGGAGAGACTGGGAGAGCCGGTAAGGCTCATCACGGAGGGGAGATTAGTGAACATGGGACGAGGGACAAGGAGGAGAGAGGAAGTAGCCCAGGGCAGGGCGGTGAACCAAGCCCATGGGCTGGCACATTTAGGGTCGCAACCCCATCAGCCAGACTGAGACTGCGCCATAGTCTAAATCCTTAGGGCCCTGGATTGGGGCCCGCGAGTGAGGGCGGGCCCGGGCCCCCTTTCTCCTCCGTCTCGGGCGGAGACCAGACTCGGCGAAATATATGGACAAATGACTAAAGTCGTCAGCCAAAAAGGGCTGGGCAGCCTGGCTTAAGTGGGCCTG